AGAATTTCCCACTTAATATTGTCAGGCCACAGTGATAACTGGCAACTGAAATCACGGAAACAAAACTGCAGACAAGGGCCGACTACTGTAACAGAGGTCCATGCAACAAACTACAATAAAAGCATCCATGATATGGAAGAAATGGAGCCAAACAGAAGTGATACAATCTGCCCAAAGCCATGCAGCCATGTAAGGGCAGAAAGCTGACCTTGAACTCTGTTCATGCTGTAAAGAATGCAGAGCCGTTGTTCTCCTTTGAAGGACTTCTGGAAGCACTGAAAAAAATATCTCGGACACCAAGATCAGAATAGCATAGCTGCTTTTCTCCACTTCCAATCAGTGCCTACTGGGTCATGATCTTCGTCTGCACTCACTGTTACTCTCCGGAATTAAAGGAACCCCGAGTCTCTCTGCTTAGCCTCATCTCTTCTGGCTTGCTGCAGGAAATCTTTCTTCTGCATCCCAAAGCTTTCAGGTTTTACCCTGTCAATAAGCTGAGCTTCCAGCCTGCTTAAATCACCAAAGGCTTTGTTGAGGAAAAATATGCTAGAGTTCTGGGAGTTTGGGACCTTGTTGACCAGGTTCAGCTTGAAATCATGGATTTCAGATACAGCATTGCAGGAAAAGCTTCTACTCAACAACATATATATATTTTTTTTCTCAATAAAACTCCAAGACATTTACTCACATCTACAAACCAGTTGATCACTCAGAAAGTACTTGTTTCTATCTTCTGGCACATAGATCATGACCCAAATGAGAGCTCACAGGCCTAAATTCAGAAAGAACTGTAACGGGTGTGCTGACTCAGAAACAGGGGAGTGGGAAGCACAGCCTGCCTGGCATTACACTCCCGCTCCAAACTCTTCGCTGGGTCCCACTGCCTGACAGGAGACCCTCAAGACTCCAAGTTATCTGTCCTACACATCGATCTGTTGTAGTCATATATTCTGCACTCCTCAGGCTATGATCTCTGGTGAACCCAATCATGTGACCATCTCCACATCTCTGTGAGGGATATCTCCACCACCCCCTCCCACCCTAAGCATCACCCTGTCTCAGAAGCCCTTCCTGATTTCTTTCCCAGCCTCCCCAGACCACCTCCAACTGGATGTGGCCTTGACTTTTCATAACTCATCCACTCACAGTGATTGTTTTCTAAGTGGGGTGAAGTAGGAATTGGGGTGTCCTTTTTCTTGCTTTCACTCAACATCAGATGAGCATTTTTTATGAATCAGATGCTGCACTAGTGGCTAAAAATGTCAAGGGTCCTTACCCTCACTGAGCTTACAATGTATGATGAAAGGTTGCCTCTAGAAGCAACAAGAGCACAGGGGAGAGAAGAATTTGCTGATTAGAGAAGTATGAGCTGATGATGCTTAGGCTATACCTTAACATTGTTCTGGGGGGAGGGGAGAATATAGCTCTAGTATTTAAAAGCAAAATGTAAGCAAGAGGCCTTGGTTTGAAGTGGGTACAAGTACTCATTGTTTATTGAATAAACACAGCAGAGATACCCAAAACTATTGTCTTTGCGACAAATTCTTCATGACCTTCTGCATCTGTGGCAGTTCCATCCCAATATCAACTTCCTAAGACTTAGAAAATCCTCCTTATTGTATACACAAGGAAACTGAGACACACAGGTACATGTGAGCACACACACACACACACACAAAAATCCTCGAAGCTATCAAGTGTCAGAGTCCACCCTGAGTTCTCAATAATGAAGAAGTTCACCTTTGAAGAGTAATTTGTAGAGCAGAGTCTAGGTCCTCTTGCTATACATCTGTATGGACCACTCCAGTCACCCCTCAAAACCCAGGATGCTTCTGGGAAAGCATACTGAGGCAAAAGAAGAAAGCAACTGAAGCCATCGTCCACAAAGATTTTGGACACAGCAGGGTCCCATAGCCCTCCATGAGCCTGGAAAGAGTCTGCTCAGGATAACCATTTTCAGAGGCTCCAAATGAAGAGAATAACAAAAGACAGCCCGGAGAGAGCCACCCAAAGTCACTGCAACCCAAGCCAGGCTTATAAAAGCTATCCTAGGGCTCAAAGAGTTGAATTGGATCTCTGGCTTCCCAGGACAAAGCATTTCAGTTTTGATGGAGTTCTTTTCTCTCTTGTCTTTTGTCTGGTCATTTTCTCAATTTCTCCCTTTCTAGTTGAGGCTTTTTCTGTAATACTTATATTGGGCACAAGCTTTCTCCCCCCCCCCCAGCTCAGACTATTATATCTCGCTATTGTGGTGTTCTTTTTCCTCTGAAAGCAATCAAAAATGAAAATCCACATTTCAGAACAGTGTCTATTAAATATGCACCTTTTGTGGGTTAAAAAAGGAAAGCACTCTCTGAGGGCTGATTTCAGCTGTGTTTCACCTACAGATTAGATACTGGGTGAGACTTGTGCTCCCTAGCAGGCCATTTGCATCTGGTAATTGAGAAGGAGGTCAGGATGTCTGATGTCTGGAGTTAGAAGCAACTTATTCTAAGGAATACCTTAGTCTAAAGTATTGCTAGTCAAACTGTGGTCCTTATACCAGCAGCAAAGGCTTCACCTGGGAGCTTATTGAATATGCTCCCTCGGGGCTGAAAAGACGACTACAAAGTTAAGAACACCTGACACTCTTCTAGAGGACCTGAGTTCAAATCCCAGCAACCCAGTTTGTGCAGCTCATAACTGCCTGTACCTCAAGGTTCAGGAGACCCAGCACTCTCTTCTGGTCTCCTAGGGAACTGGCACAAATGTGCCAGATACTAGAAATGAAAACTCTCAGGGAGCACCCAAAGCCAGTGGAATCTGGATCTGTCTGTTGACAAGATCCCAGGTTATTTGCACACACACGTGGAAGTTTTCAGAGCAGAGTTTTAGAGTAAAGGCAACTTGGAGAGTCCACAGATTTCTTGTCTAAATAAGTAAACCTATTTAGTTGATGGCTTAGGATGTCACCACTGTCCTTTCCTGCCCAGACTGTGGATTCATGCAGGAATCCTGAAATGACAAGTATTCCTCTGAATATCAGTATCAGACGAAAGAGAGTTGAAGGTGAGATCAGGCTGGTGACCACCATTCTGTAGTGGATGAGCCCTAGAATGAAAGGGTTCTGACACTGAAGGGTCACAGGGAACCCTCACTCCCTCTGTTTTTAAGGCTCTGGGAAGGGATAGAGAAAGACACCACCGTACAAACTGCAAAATGACTGGTGAGTCCGACAGGTCTTGGTAAACTGAACTGAGAAAGTCCTAAAAACAACACTGGATGAAACCAAGAGCATAGCCTCTCACTGCATCCCCTGCTCAGGCCTCACACAGCCAAGAACAACAGCAGACACATGGAGATGGACTCCGATTAGCTCATTTGTCATCCACATGGGAGCCAGGGACTGGGAAGACAGACAATGATGTGGACCCGGTTGGAAGGACTGGAAGCTAGAACTGAAAAGCAAGGTAAGAGAAAGAGATCCAGGCCTGCGCAGTGGTGGCCTGGAGGCACAGTTAGTATCAGCAGGGGAGAAAGTCCTGGCAGGCCACAAAGACCTGGTCTGGGCTCACATTCGACCTTGTCCTCTGTGAAGATGCCTGCCTCTGAGAGACATTTAGTAAAAACTGAAATAACACCGCCAAAAAGTTACTCCTTTAAAAAAAATAATAAAATAAAAACCTCCACCCACCCGCCCACCCCGTCCAAAGCAAAAGCAAAGGCTTTCTCCACAATTCTGACTCCTTGCACACCACAATAAACAATTGTGTGCCCTAGGCATCATATGGCTGCCCATGTGGGATGCCTCAATTACTGACTACTCTGTGTTAAGGCCTGTGTTGTCATTCTCCTCCCCCAGCTTTGCTAAATTTCCACTCGTTCATTCAGCCCATCAGAGACCTTCAAAGTCTCTGAAACAGCAATATTTTCCAACATGGAAATGCTTCATTTATGCCAAGCAATCCTTGTTTCTCGTGTAATGGCAAGCTACTCAGGCATCCACAGCATTTCGGCTATGAGAATGCAAATCTGTCCTTCACATGCCCACATCAGCAAGCTCTCAAGGAATACTTGGAACAGACAGACATGGTGGACAGTGGTGCATAAGGGAGATACTTCAGGGGAGTCATTCAGACAGAAAGTTCATCTGTCTTCCTCCACGACAACCAAAAGATGCCCTCTCTCTTGAAATCCAGTATGTTATAGATTTGCCGCCTACAGAGACTGGGGCTATCAATTTTATTTCGGAACTTCCACTTCATAGAAGAGTACTTGACCTGATCCCCCCTGTAAATCAGACCTCTCAGGAAGCAATCTTCCACAAACACACCCGAAAGAAATCCCTACAAGCCTCCCCCAACCCAACAGCCAACTGAGGTGCCTCAACACACCGTCTCCAAGAAAGAGAAAGTTAACTTTCAAATAAACCTGTCCTTCAACTAGTCTGACCATATTTTCAGGCCCTTCACATTCTTAAAGGTGGATATTCTAAAGCTGTTCAAATCCAGAAGCCCAGACCTGACCTGTCTGCAGAGGGCAAAGACTAAGGGTCAAGCATCCACAAATATACCGCTTTATACCGCTTTTCTTTTCTTTTCTTTCTTTCTTTCTTTCTTTCTTTCTTTCTTTCTTTCTTTCTTTCTCTCCCGCTCTCCTTCCTTTCTCTCTCTCCTTCCTTCCTTCCTTCCTTCCTTCCTTCCTTCCTTCCTTCCTTCCTTTTTCTTCTTCTATCCCCCTTTTTCCTTTCTTGGCCAAAATGAAAATAACGGACCAGGCTTTTTATCCTTCCTTCAAAAAAGCCCAACCGGACTGCCAGAGGGTGGGCGAACCTACACCGATTCCACACATTTTTCTGTGAACGCCAGGGGTTTTGCAGAAGGCTGGGACACGGGGATTCTGTTTCTCAGGCACCCCTAAAGTCTGCATGTATGCAGAAGGCGCAGTGCTGTCCTGTCAGCACAGGCTCGCCTCCCTGCTGGGCCATCCAAGGTTCCCCCCATCACAGCGGGGTCACTCACCACCCGTGAGCTGCGCAGGGCCAAAGCACAGCGCCAGTTGAAACCACAGGATCACTGCCAAGAGTCTCTGGGGGGACTGAGGCTGCTGTTGCTGCAGCTGCTGCTCTAGAAATCCATCTCCATTGCTCGGGTTCATTCCATGATACATCTTTCATCCACAGAGGGCATCCAGCTTGCAAGAGTCTGCAACCAGGAGCGGAACACAATACCCCGGGTTGCCCGGGCTCCGGGGCCACGCTCTCCTTCCTCCGCCCTGGGGACTGGCGCCTGGGCTTTGCGGGCTCCATCCCGGTTCGCCCCTACGCAGCCCCCGCCCCCTTTCCACTGCGAGATCCTCCCTGCCACCCCCCATGCAGGGTCCAGAGAGTAGCAGCCACCATGGGATACTGCGCGTGCGGGAGGGATGGAGGAGGGGAGAGGGGACAGGGGTTAGTGCACACTGGCTCTACGCTGCTCCCCGGGATTCAGCGGTTGTGATCATGACAGGACAGTCTAAAGCCTTCTAGCATCAAGCGGCTGAGGAAACACTTTTCCCGGGGCCTGTACATTTCACTCTCAGGAATCTCACAATGTGCCCCCTGCTGCCCCCGGCTACTTCTCTGCTTTCCCAGGGATTGGGAGGGTCCTATTGCCCCCAGTCCTCTCGGAGATCTGAGCTGTGATTTTTATTTTAAAAATTCCTCCCTTAGGGGTGCTGAGCCAGGAGCCAACTCGCCCAGCCCGGCCTGCGCGCGCCTCCCCAGGGCAGGCAAGCCCCTTCCGGGCTCCGGCTCTTCTTACCTGTGGGTCTCATGCATGCAGCTTCCTTCCCTCCTCCGCCTCCTCCCCCCGCTAGTCTAACCCGCATCTGTGCGCGACCTCTGCTGCCGCCGCTGCGCGAGCCAGCGAGCGAGCAAGAGGGAGAGCGAGGGAGCGAGACGGAAGGCTTGGCGGCTGCCGGGCTACACCGCCCCCGCCCGTCCCGCCGCGCGCTCCCTCCCCGGGCTCCCCCGAGCGGCCGGGGGCGGGGGTGACGAGGGCCGGGGCTGCGGGGCTGCGCGCCCCCGGGGAGGCGCCCGCGCCCCCGCTACCTGAGCTCGGGAGCGCGCGGCGGCGGCGCGGAGCAGGGGAGGAAGGGATGGGGCCGGGGCGCGCGCGTTGGGGGGGGGGGGGGGGGGGCGGGGGGGGCGGGCCCGCGCGCGCCGCGGCGGATCCCAGCCAGCGCCGGTAGCGGGGGGTAAGGGGGGGAGATGGCGAGGGCGGAGGAGGACGCCGCGGCCAATGGGAAGCCGGCGCGCCTGCACCTGTCGGGCACGAGTCGCCAGGCGGCGGCACACTTTCACCAACACACGCACACTCAGAGGCGAACAGACATACGCAGGCACGCGCACACGGGCACTAGCGCAGGTCTGCACCGCGATCCTTCACCGGTAGCCTCTGTGAGCGCCACAGTAGGCTGCGACCGCCACAGGATCCCGCCTAGGGCCGGCACCTAGGACAGGGTTAACTTGAATGGGGAGGAGTAAACTCCTTGCTAAAACCTCAAGTTCTCAGGGATCCTGAGCACCTCCACAGGGTGTGCACTTCTCCTAGAGCCCAGAGGATGGCCCAAGGAGGTTTGGGTCTCTGTACCCAGCCCCTTGGCCCCGCGGCGTTTTCCCTCTTATCTGCGTTGGAGATGCAGGCATCTCTCAGCGCTTTCTCTTGGGGGGCCTTCTCTCCGAGGGAGGAGAGTGACCGGCGATGAGGTGATGGGTTCCTATACGGAAAGCTGGGTATGACCCGAAGGAGGGGCTTATTTCCTGTAGGTAAGAATCCAAAGGGTCAGGAGTCCCGAGAAAGAACGTGCTCCTGGTCAGGGGTTCTTTTCTGGTGCTAAGTTCAGTCTGCTGCAAACTCTGCTTTCCCAACCTTTGCTGTTCCCCAGCGGGCTAGGCCTCCCTCTGCGGGCTGGGCTCCGAGGGAGGGCCCAGGTTCCAGCCGCGGTGATTAAGGGGTTTGTCCTAATGAGGTGGTGCCGGCAGGCAGTATTTTCGAACCACTGGCACTCCATTATTCTGTAGCAATTTGTGGATATGAAAAACCATGTTTCTGATACAGCCACCAAATCATCCCGTCCTTCTATCGACTTTTCCAAAATCTTACACACTGAAGGTAGTTGGGAAATTACAGCTTTTACTGTGAGGCTCTTACTGCAAGTGATTTTAACAAATTCTTGCAAGAGAAATTAGCTTTTAGTAGATAAATCTAGTTCAATTTTTTTTTCGATTTGTAAAATTGAGATGTCAGCTTTGCACAGAGTAAGTTTAACATTTTTGCCTATCATAAATGCATTCCTGCTAAAGCATGTACTTTGAGGCCCCAAAACATTATTTGGGCATTTTTTCTGTGTTTCCAAGGACCTGAGAATGTTCGCTGTAAATTGAATATTTATTCCAGTTTATTCGCAGTAAAATGCCTACCCTTTTAAAATAGCTGTCAAATCCACAAGGCACAAGATACGTTTGTTGACCATGCAACAAATGTATCTGAAATCTGTGGTTTAGCCGCAGCAGTTGGCTTGTACAGAAAGCCAAGTCCAACAGGAACATCCAAGTTCATCTGGCCCAAGCATGGGATCTATGCTTAAGTCTCCTTCCTGACACAGTGGTATCTAGCTGGAGCTACTGCTCTGTAGCTGACCACTTGCCTAGCACTTGTGTGAGGCTCGGGGCTCCACTCCTGGCACCACAGAAATTAAACTACTTCTGACCAAGATTATGTAGCCTCATCCCGTTCTCTAGAGAGCCTGATGTATTAGCTGATAGCACTCAGAAAAGCCTTCCTCGTGTGGGACTGCTCTGCTTTGGTTTTCTGTTGCTGTGACAAAACACTGAGCAACAGCAACTTGGGAGGTGAAAGGTTTGCTCAGCTTACATCCCAGCACTGAGGAAAGCCAAGCCAGGAAACTGAAGGCAGGAACTGAAGCAGAGACCATGAAGAACTCTGCTTACGTGCCAGCTTTACTTCCCATGGCTTTCTCAGCAGGCTTGCTTATTACAGCTCAGGCCCACCTGCCCAGAAGTCACACACGCACACACGCACACACACACGCACACACACACACACACACACACACACACACACACACACACAC